GAGGAAGGAGGAAGGAGGAAGAAGAAGGAAGAGGAAGAGAAAGTATGCATTTCTGTTTTAGTTGTGCCATAACCTTGCTGATAGGCAGGGAGTCAACAGCACTGGACTCCTCAGGCAGGGCACTGAGGGCATGTGAAACATCTTTGGACAAGACTATGACCTTCATGGGGCAGTAGGGTTTCTGCTTTCCACGGACTTCATTGGGAGTCTGGTGAACCAACGCTTTGAATGCAGGATATAAAATATAAAGAATTACTAAAGAAACCAATTATATTGGTAAAGTAATTCTATCCACAGACCCCTAAAGGAGATTTGTGGACCATTTTAAAAAGGCTGACAATTTTTTTGTTCTATAAAGCCGTATAGCCATTCTCACACGTCCTACCTCATCCCTATTTCCCTCGGAAATTCCGGCTTCTTTAGCTCTTGGTCTGGTGGCTGCTAAAACCTGCTCCAGTTCGTCCTTTTCAAATAAGTTAGGCACTTCACCCGAGTTCAAGATGTTATTTATATCTTCTAGGAACTCTTCCACTACAATCTGTAGAAGGAAGCAAAGTGATTTATTATAACTCATTTAACTATTTTACATTGTAAAGTATAAAGCAAATATTTTTTTTCAAAATTTGCATTCAGTTAGTTTTATCTTTAACCCCTTTCCCGGCAGAAACGTGTATACACAAAAAGGCTGACAATCTTTTTGTTCTATAAAGCCGTATAGCCATTCTCACATGTCCTACCTCATCCCTATTTCCCTCGGAAATTCCGGCTTCTTTAGCTCTTGGTCTGGTGGCTGCTAAAACCTGCTCCAGTTCGTCCTTTTCAAATAAGTTAGGCACTTCACCCGAATTCAAGATATTATTTATATCTTCTAGGAACTCTTCCACTACAATCTGTAGAAGGAAGCAAAGTGATTTATTATAACTCATTTAACTATTTTACATTGTTAAGTATAAAGCAAATATTTTTTTTCAAAATTCACATTCAGTTAGTTTTATCTTTAAAAGAGAAGATAACCTTAAAAATTAGATAGACTCTTAATATTCTAACATAGCAAGTACATTGATATTTGGCATCACCTTTTTGTCATATGTGCAAGCATTTTAGAATCTGCTCCTTTCAGTGAACATTCTGTTGTAAATATTAATCCACAATTCTGTAGTGTACTCGTCATGTTTAAAACCATTAATGGGAGCATAGCACACCATTGAGCTGATGTGCCATACATTTACATAAACTTAGTTTACAGTCTTACGTACATTTAAGAACATATTTAGCCCTATAGCTTTTCTCCCTGGCTGGATTATTTCCAGGGGATAAATTCCCAGGAGCGAGATTAGCAATTAAAGCATATGAATGTTTTCTAAATTTTGAAAATTTCAAAGTTTCCTGTTCAATTCAAGTATGACTTCATTAACCTTTAACATGTAATGTTGTGGGGAGTGTAAATGTTTCCTTTGGGAGGATTTAATTTGCAGTCCTTTGATTATTACTAGTAGCAAGGGCAAATATTATTCCATCT